TAACTTGTTTAATATATTCCTCTCTAACTACTCATACCACACCCATGTAGGTCATAGTAGATCCTGTGGCAGTGTCTGTCATTGAAAGGTGTACCAAAGAAATACATTAACCTTATACAAGCTCTCTACTCGAACACTACAGTTCGGGTGAGAGGCCATGACAAACTGTCACCAGAAACCACGCTTGATGAATTAAAGTATGCTGAAGAATTAGTTCTATTCGATGAAGACGCTGAAAAAATGCAGAGTCTTCTGACTACCCTAATCAACAATGCAAGCATGTTTGGCATGCGGTTCTTACTTCCAGATTGGATTACATCGGCACCTGAAATAGTGATAGAGAGTGAAGTACTCCTGTACACAGTTCTAGGCTGTAACCAACCGTCTGACTAAATACTTGGTAGATCATAAAATAGTGCCCCGCGACTTGATGTGAGTTTCGGGAATAGGTGATAAATCTCCTTAGAGTTGCTTGAACCCGGGTTAGACTGTATCGTGTTGCAAAGAAATTATTGTAGAATCCTTTTTTGAATGTTTTGTTTTTTGGAAAATCCCTCCATGTTTACATATTTTTGTTATGACATGAAGGGCTTTTTTCTGTTGACATTTTGGTATTTTATTTGATTCCGATTTGAGATTTTATCATTGTATATTGTTACTATTTCTACATTTTGTACTTATATTGAAGTTATTATGTTTGCTTCTGAACTGTATATATGTTGTTTAAATTTGATCTTTAATATGGCTACAGCCATATTTGGATTGATACTGTGGCGGTTGGATTTAACATCACTTATTCCCTTTAATCTCGGATACTCCTCGAAGTAATTGTGACTTGGAAAGTGCATCAAAATTCAGGTATTGATTTGTATTTCCATTTTTAATATAATATAGACCGTTTTCTCCTAGAATTATTGTGTTTTTGACACTGGGTTGGGAGATAACGCGTTCGATTTGCACTTACTGGAAACAATTTGAACTGCTACTGTAGAAAATCCATTTACAATTATATCGCAATGATTTTTTGTGTTTTGCCGTTAGTAGGGTACATGCGTTGTTTCCAAGTCTGTAAGCAGCGTCTTGGTTCATAACTGGGCTGTATTTTATGAACGAGATGCCCTATATTATTTTATCGAGGCGTATCAAGTTGTTTTTTAACCGAAAGCGCCACAGAGGTTCTAGGGAAAGATGTTTGCATCTTTCTGTGTAGTCAAGATTATGGTTACATCCTAGCAGTCGCAGGGTGAAGCTTCTTTGGATATTTTCCTCTCGTATCTTGTCTAAGATGGTAATGTCTGAAAAGATAAGTGAGCAGTATTCAAGTGAGAGCCTTATACAAATTTCAAGAGTGTAGGCTTAGCCTGACTTGTCAAGAAGTTCTTAGTTGTAAACCCCATAAGCCTTCTAGATCTAGAGATAACAGTAAAGGCATATTCTTTAAATTTTAGGCTTCTGGCATAACGAATACCCAGATCATGCGCTTATATGAGTGTCTGAACACTACATTTTTGTAAATAAAGTGGTATTTCATGGTAGTGCTTACTAAAAGGCATGATGCCGAATTTGTTGTGGTAGCTGCCAAGATCGCTCCAGGTAGATTAGTTATCAAGTTCATTCTGAATCCTGGCTATATTTTCGTCTAGATCTACAGGCTTATAGCTGTATACTATTTTGAGATCATCCGCATATAGGTATGATCTTCCAAATTTCATAGTTTTACAAACATCGTTTATGTACATCAAAAACAAGAGTGGAACTTATACACCTGCCTGGACAACTACAGTGGTTATTGGTCTTGATGATGAAGGGCAACCGTTGTGGTTTACCATTTCCTGGCGTCCGTTTAGGGATGTAACAAACCACTAATATAATGTGTTACTGATTCCGATAGACGTCATAACCCTTATGGATGAAGATATATTCAATCTCAGGGCAGAGTACGAGTGATTTGAATCATTTTTCCGGTTCGAGGTTTTATGTGAGTCAGTTTCCTGACCTCTATGCCCAACCGTCAGTATACCTAGGGAGGCTCTAGAAGGAGACCTTCACTAAAATCTGGAAACTGGACATAATCTCACCCGGCTTGTCCTAGTCATTGTTTGTCCTAATCCGTTAGAAAGGACAAAAGTCTTCTTGTGACGATTACAGAGGGGTCCGTTCAGTAAACATAGTGTCCAAAATATTAGTTCCCATAATACTTCGACGCCTAACTAGACCTCATGAAGAGCAGACCCGAGAAAACTCCTGAAAATTGATTTAAAAATCACAACATTGCAGGTCCGAGAACAGAGACGTATATTCAGACTTCGTTCAGTAGTTAACTTTCTTTAACTTAAGCCGTCATTTAACTCTGCCGATTACAACTTTCTATGGAGGTGTCTGTTATTCAAAGAGTACATCATGAAGTATATTAATCTTTATCAGGCTCTCTACTCGTACAAACCGTCATCGGAACTAATTGTTTTCAGTGGTATTTATCAGAATTGTCCACCTTCTTCATTCCTATGCAACCTAGTCATTGACATGCCCTTAGAAACAACACTTTTGGCGTCTGACCTTTTAAGAGTTGACATTCTGCCAGAAGACTCAGAATTTGACTTGAAGTATGCTGATGATAGTTTTAGTTGGTGAAGACATTGACAAAATGACGTCTTCTGTAGCTCCTGGATTGGCTTATACGGGCACCTGAACTAGTGATGGGGAGTGAAGTAGCTGAGCGTGTCTACCGCTTCACTTATCTTTGGAGTCTCATCAGTCGTGATGGCCAGGTGTATGACGAAATATTGACACGGGTACTGAAGGCTAGACTTGCGTAATTTATAGTGTAGGTGAAGTGTCCATCTACTCACCATCAGTTTGCTCCGTCCGACTTCATAGATGTGGATAATGGCCCTTAAGAATAGAGGATATTCGTAGGTAACTACAAAGCCACGACTCGTATATCCTTGAACCGATGAGTAAGCAATGCTGTTATTAGGAAACGGGTACTAGGTAACGATGGCAGATCAACTGATGATTACTGCCCATACTTCTACTACCTCTACCACTATGGGATTAGGTCCAAAAGTTGCATCTCTGTACTCACATGGTATGGCAACTTGAAATGATGTACGCACATACGAAGTTGTACATAGTATCTGACTGACATTTCCTATGCTTCATGATTTCCAGTCGATAGGATTTTTATCGGACCCAATGTATTGCCACTCATTATCTCACATCATCTGAGGAATGACGACCTCGCGATCGCCTGAGAATGTGCAACGACTACTCTCTTCATGTTTTTAATGGTAAAACGATGTCATCAAATTTGACTTTTTCAGAAATACGTGGAAGATTTCCATTGAAAACCTCCTGCTATTGAGCACTTAGTACGGCTACTATCCCTAGCGTGGGCTCCTCTTCTTTTTTATTAGTTGCAGCCCTAGCCACACTTTAGAGAAAAACCTTATGCTCGGTTCGTGTTTAGGTAGGATCTGGGAGTACCTTTGCTCATTCGCCTCAACATTCTAACCATTCTTATTCCTACTGCTTCTGTGTATGATGAACAGCCTAAGCTTCCAGACAAAATTTACCTAATCGTTCCACAGGGACATTACTTCAGTACTCAGAGTCTGTGCTGTAAGTTACTGGATAGAAGAAAGGCAAGATCCAGGTAATCATACTTCAATGGCTTTATCAAAAATACCTCCATTCAATCGCGACTCATCTCCACGTACGATTATCTTCAGTTCCGCTTCTCTCCTCCTTCTATTTCCATATCTTTTTCACAACCCGTGCAATTAACTAATGGAAGCACATTTGAAACATCACTTGTACTAAAGGGGTGTGATGTCATTCGATATTTCACCAGCTTATTCTAAAGATTGCATTCTGGTTACTTCATAAAATGTAGTGCTCCTTCATCACAATTCCGGACTTTTAGTTTAATGAACACTTTTATCCATTCGCAGATACGACAACCAGTTCCTTGTGAATAAGTTAAAGAACACCAACCAAGCAGCAGATCATTAAATGGTTTACTATCTTGCTTGCTAGTGTAAGGAGAATATGTCCGAAAAGCTTCACGATAGCATGAGGACGTTTTCTTCCACTCAGACCCTGATCCAGGACTTAATGAGCTTCAATCACCTTAAATCTAATGATCAACATAACTTCCAAGTCTACTAACAGTAGTTAAGGTAAGTCCAAAAGATGGGTTTTTCTTTAACAATGTCCTTCACAGGTGCTGCTGGTTAGTGGATAGGTAAATCTTTTACATCAATAACGTTAATCAAACCCACTCTTTACAAGACAGTGGATATGCACAGTTGAGCACCCACCTAATGATTCCAGTTTTCGAATGTTTGTCTAACATTGTTCATTCCATGATATCAGTAAGATATTTAATCGCACAGGAAATGTTTTAGTTGGTTCCTGTCAGCATAGTTTCAAGTTTTCTAAAATTCTCCAGTAACCTTGAAAACCATAACATTCATAGCGCCTCAGTATTTGAATTATGCTAAACGATAAGTCTATTCATCGGATTAATGGGATTGAATTACCGAGAGAAATAGTTTGGGACGAATGGGTTCCGGGTAAAACATACACGCAGATTCTGAAGCTGCGTAATGTAGATAGAATACCTCACAACTTTACATTTTTGTAAGTATTTGCTTACAATTTCGTAATCCGACCATTTTGAAGAATGCCATGTTCAGGAATCTTCAGCAGTGTCTATGAAAAGAAGTTTAGAATTCCACCTGGCACAACCAATGAGTTGCCAATAACGTTTCGACCTATAAAGTTAATGGAGTTGTGTGAGGAAATGACGTTTGACTTATCAGTAGTTCTTCTGTTAATCAAATACATGTATCATTTAGGGTGGAACAGCAGGAGTAAGACTGAAGGCTACTCTCCCCACCTTTCTTGTGAAACTGCCGGAAAATATTGACTTTGGCTCAGTTGCGGTAAATACTATCAAAGCACAAACTTTCACTTTGGAAAACGTGACGTAAGTAATGGAATATCTTATTGCTTTTAGAAAGTTAAAGACAGATTTTAAATTAAAGGTGACCTCTCCTTTACAAATTTCTCCGAATGAAGGTACACTCAACTCCTTCGAAAAGAAGGAGATCAATATTATTTTTGCTCCTACAGTAAGTCATACGAGTTTGACTAATTATGGATTTAGACTCCAGGATACATAAAAACGGGTATAATATGTACTTTTGGTGATGATAAAATACAGAAAGATAAGTATATAAACATTACGGGATCAGGTATACTAAGACTAATTAATTTTCAATGTTTAGTGGAAATTGCAAGACTTCGTATCCTTGCTGAGGATGTAACCGTTGATGAGAATACGAATAATTGTCCTATCGTTTCCCTTTTATTTGACAACGTATCTACTGGTCGTTCATCTCAAAAAACTATTGTGGTTGAAAATTATTCCAATGTAAGTTATTAGGATTCATATCTATCAATAAATACAGTCATTTATACTATACCAAACTAACAGGGTCAGATCTGTGCTTCGAGAACATAGTCTAAGTTAGTCTTTTCTCACTGTTCTCTTGAGCATCTAATCTTCCGTTGAATGAGTGAGCTGAATGCATGGACACCCCTTCTTCCGTTATTAAGTTTCAAAAATTGATCATTCAATGAGAAAGTCTATATTCGAAAGAGATTTATTCGTCCTTTGCTTTTTGACTGGCCTGATACGTCTTCTGATTTGTCTTGATCTGGCTGGAAGGAAAAAGAGAATGTTACAGATTCAACATCATATTTTAATATCCTATATATTATAGAAGAAACACCAAATAACTTGTGGCATGATAGCTTCAAATGATCTAACTTGTCAAGATACAATGCAAATGTTAACTGCACAGCCGTTAAACCTTTTTTAGTGCATCGGTGATCAGATTTGATTTACTTCTAAACAGAAGCTCCCAGATTTGCATGCGATTTCTGAATCAGACATCACTAAGGCTTCGTAAGCCGTGATAAATACATTTGTACTCATCTTGGTAAGAGGCTGTCTTAACAGCCATATAGTTCTGATTCCTTCAGTTGAGACTGACCAAAAACAAGCTATGGTTGTGGAGAGATATGCACGAATGTGAAACATGGAGAGCACCTAAATGATTTTACAATGGTATCGTAAGTTCGTAATATAGGTCAATAAAAACCATTTTTTGAAGTTGTTAGACCTTTACACGAGTCGTTTCGATGTAATTTTTTCTATTCTATGTGCATACAAAGTTATCCCTGACATTTCATCTACGCCCATTTTTTTAAAAATTTTTATCTTAATAACGGGATGTTTCAGTGTGCATTATTGCCAGAATCTACATTGGTGATGGCTGACTAATTGACTCGGTAGGCTAAAAGTGCCTCTCTAATTTTCATCTAGCCTTTATCGTCAGTAAATTGAACACAAACAATTAAAGATTTAGCAGTGATCCCTGTAGTACTCCATTAAGTGCTGATCCCCATGATGAACATTCGGAATCGAATCATAATTACTGTTTTTGACCAACCAATCCATTTGGATGCCAACCTAGACATTTTTAGACTTTCCATATTGAAAAAAAACATCTATTGTCTTGAACCATGTGTCATGCATGCAGTACTGAATTTGAATTAGTTAACATTTACCCGTTTTTCGATATCTTGTCACTCCTTCAAATCATCTCCGGCTTAGAAAGATTTGCAGTGAACATAAATGTTTTGGTCAGAGAAATTAATGGAAATGGAAATGTCGTGGATATCTAGCATTGGATAAGGCTTTCATGCGTAATACTCTTTGAATCGAGAATACACAAAGTCAAGTCAAACTAGAAGTCATGAATGAGGTGGATCAAAGTTTTATCCTGGAGATGGTTGGAATGTCTAGAGGTGATTGAACCAAACTAGCTATTTGATGCAAGAAGATGCATTGCGCGGAATTTCCAACGGTGATCTGATATGGATGAGTGACCGACTGCCTTCAGCTACCATGTGTACAGTAAAACTAATGATGTCAGCATCAATGTTGAAGACCTACAGAATTATTTATTTCGAAGATTTACTTACCGCTACAAAATAAGCAAAAGACAGCGATCGTGGCTTGAATTTTAAAATTCCTATGTACTACTTATTTTATTATGTTACTACTTGGTAATTCAGGCAACAACTGATCTCATTTAAGATTAGGGCGTTTTCATCACTTGGTCAGCTGATATTAAGTTTAGCCACTTCTTAGTGTTAGTCAGTTCTGTCGGTGAAGCTGTGCAATATGGCCACCAGTGTAAGAGGAATTCATCTATATACAATCAAACGTATCATTCCCTCATACTGTTCTGTTTAAGACCCTGATGCGCAAATACACATCACTCGGCTAAAATGCATAAAATATCTTGATATTAATATCATCTGACAGTAAAGTACCAAGTCTTTTTCTCTGGATTTATTCACGTTAAACTACTCATGATTTAATTGTGTTATGCCTTTTTTTTGACTACAAATGCAATCTTCTTGATGACTATTTCATCATATAAGTTTTCTCAACTTGCAATTACAATTTTCAACCCACTATCTAGGTTGATAGTTTAATAAAAATTGAATCACTTAGTCGAAACACTGGTTTTGATGAAAGTACAGTATTTCGCTCACTTTTATCAACAGTCACTATTCCTGCACAGTCGAAATCACAAATCAATGTGAGGTGTATTAATTTTATCAAATAATTAACATCGATTTCCTGTATGATGAATAATAAAACTGGTCATAATGTCAGATTTTAATTTCTTCAATTAGCACAATATGCGAGGAGGCTGAATTTCAATCTCGTTTTAAATAACGAATATCAATTTGAGTATATTGATAGGTTGCAAAAGGCAAACTAATGATTAGTTTAGAAGAACTGTGACCAAGATTTGATCAGAACGGAAAACTCAATAAAATGATACTGTTTGATACGTTACGTGAATCAATCAGTGTATAACTGAAATTGGCTATGACTTTAAGCTACTAGTATATAGGTCTTGATAAATACAATGATGTTCCTAGTGTAGGGATAGGTTAGAAGAAAGCTAGTGGCGGCCAAACCAAAACATGGCACAAATCCATGAAGTCACTGACAAATGGACTAAGCCGTGTTGATAAGTGCAGACTATCAGGTTTGAGGTCTGTGAGACGATAGAAACCAGTGGCTACAGACCTTGAACAATATGGCTCAAAATGGTTTACAATGATGCAGATGCATTGATTTTCTGTGTTCTCCCAAATTTTAGTCTTCCGAATTCCTCATCACCTCTATCTTTCTCTTTTTAATTTTATTTCATTGAATTACACTTATCGAATCATATCTTCGAACCCTAACCATCTTAGTTGCCGTTAACCCGAGTGAGCGACGCTGTTACCCGAGTGAGTAACGCTGTTATTACCCGAGTGAGCAACACTGTTATTAGGAATCGGGTGCTAGGTAAGAATGGTAGATCAATAGATGAAGTAATGAAACTTCATCAATTGAGGTGGTTGGGACATGTCTTGCGTATGCCTAACCACCGACTGCCTCGTCGAGCTTTGTTTTGTAGTGTAGGAATAGGATGGAAGAAAGTTAGGGGCGGCCAAACCAAAACATGGCACAAATCCATTAAGTCATTGACAAGTGGACTTAGCCATGTCGGTAATTGTCGACTACCTGGTTGGGGTCCGCGAGATGATAATAATCGATGGTTAGAGACCTTGAATGACATGGCTCAAAATCGTTCGCAATGGCGCTAGTGCATTTATTCTTTGTTTTCTCTCAAGTCCTAATCTTCTGGATTCTTCAACCCCTCTAGTTTTGACTTTCTAAACTTTTCTCTCTGGATCCTACTTCTTGAATAATATCTTCTAATCATATTACTTCTAATACCCTTACTACCTCTTCTACTATTGGATTTGAATTGACAATTACATCTCTGTGCTGACGTGGTATGGCAACATGAACTGATGTACTTACGTACGAAGTTCTACGTTGCATCTGACTGACTGACTAGTTGCCGGTAATACTTCTACTACCTCTACTACTATGGAATATGAACTGACATTTCAACCTCTCTGTGCTAATATGCTATAGAAACCTGAACTGATGTACGAAGTCCTAAGTTGTAGCTGAGTGACTTTCTATCAATACAATAATGTTTATTCCTGTTTTACCATGTACTACTTTTTCAATCGGTTTTTCCAATAATATCTACAATGAAGTTTACCTACACTCCAAAAATGCCAAAATCTTATGATGTGGGCTATTTCAAAATTTGTTCAGTAAACAATTATGGCGAAACAATGATAAAATGTATGGGTAAATCAAAAGGTAAGATTGATAATAAATATTTTTAATTGCATAGCGAACATTGAATTTATTGATAAATTCAAGCATCCACTGAACAGATCATTTTTGCGCTGTTAGTAAGATATCTAACCAAATTTCTCTTGTAACTTAATGAGGCTATTAAGAAGCTTGATCAAAACTAGTCGCTACATCGATGACACATTCATCACTGTAGATTAGAACGCCAGTAAAGAACAAATTCCTAGAACAATGTAACAGTAGTATACTCATGGCAATCAATTTCACTGGTGAAGATGATTGTGACAAAAAGTTAAAATTCCCTAATGTCACACTAACCAGGTGAAGTGATGACTCGTCAAGTAGAAGTTTGTGCAGAACAAAGTCTCTCTTCATTGTTTCTACAATCAGGAGAACATCTGGAACACAAAACAACTGTCAATTTACACCAAAGTTAGAATTTTTAATACAAACGTCTAAACCGTCCAATTGTACGGGGTGGAAACTTAGAGAACCAGGAAAGCTATCATCCGCATACTACAGGTGTTTAATAACAGTTGTCAACACCGTATACTCCATATCTGTTGGTCGGGCACCATGATTAACAACCTACTGTGGTGATGAACAAAGCAGATGCTGACTGAGGAGGAGATCAGAATAAAGCGCCAGAGGTGGACAGAACACACACTGAAGAAATAATTGAGCTGCTTCATGAAGCAAGCCCTAACTTGGAATCTCCATGGCGAAAGGAGAAGAGTTAGAACATGGAATACATTATAGAGAGAACTGGAAAGAGACATGGAAGGAATGAATAGTAAATGAAAAGTGGAAAGTGGAGCAAAGGACAGAGTAGGTTAGAGAATGCCAGTCGGTGTGATCTATGTTCTACTAGGGGCAACAGGGGTAAGTAAGTAAGTAATAAGGTTGGTCAATCACTAACAACAAACAATCTTACATAAATCTTTAAGTTTAGCTTATTAAAGTTACAATCTTCATTTCAAGAGAGCAAATTAACAGATGCCAACACAGTTTCAGATCGAAAATTTAACAAGAGAATACAAATTAGCAAGAATGAATGAAAATGCGAAACGCAAAATATTAGAGAGCATTATGTTATGACTTATTTGCTGTTTCGACTTGAAATAAGTATACTAACTCAATGTCTGTTATATTGTTGATACCCTCATTCAAAGTTCTCACTTGTTCACAATCTATTAATCAAGCATATCAGGAAATATTTGCTAAGTATCTCATATTATCCTGTAATCTTTCAAACTTTTAAACTCATTTTATCTATAAAATGCAAGATTGTATCTCATCATTAGGAGTGACTTTATCGTTAACCTCTTCATATTCGACTGATGTGTCGTAGGCATCATTTTTCTGTTCATTTAATGCGTGAATACGATTTATTGTAGATTTCATTTAAAGTCTTACAGCTTATCTATGTTACTGGTTTTTCCTGTATCTATCATATAGATTTATGCTACATTATATATGTCCGTTACAAACAAGTGTTGATAACTTTAACCCAGTTTATTGTGATAAATCACATGTTTACATAACTGGCTTATTTATGATCAGTTTACTGTTATAAATTTTCACCTGTTTTCTTTTCATATTGACATATTGAACTCAGAAATTTTTAGGTAAATAAAGAATATTTTGGGGCAGAGTTTCGCAGGTTTGTGTTTCTACAAATTTGAAATCATCAATCAATCATTGTCAGACCACCAGTAGAAACCTGGAAGCATTGGACGGCCGTTTCGTCCTGGTATGGGACTCATCATCAGTGCGCATCCACGACTCCTGCTCCTCGCAGGATTTGAACCCGTGAGGTCGCGCGAAATCCGTAGATCAATCAGAGTTAGACATTAACACCGTTGGATGCCGGCCCAGTAGTCCAATGGTTAGGAGTTCGAGCGCAATACTGAAGGTCCCGAGTTCGAAACCGGCGAGGAGCAGGAGTCGTGGATGCGCACTGATGATGAGTCCCATACCAGGACGAAACGGCCGTCTTTCAGTGCTTGCAGGTTTCTAATGGTGGTCTAACAATGATTGATTGATGATTTCAAATGTGTAAAAAATAAAGAGTAAATTAATTTGACCTTCCCGATATCGATTTTTCGAACATGATTGTCTCATAGCTTCAAATATGAATTAAAATTTGGACTTGAAGAATTCTCATTCATTCATTCAGTCAGTAACAAGGTAGAACTTCGTTCGTTCGTACGTACGTACGTTCATAATTACAGGTTGCCGTAACACGTTAGCATAGAGAGATTGACTTGTCACTTCAAATCCTATAGTAGTAGAGATAGTAGAAGTATTAGCAGTAATCGAAGAGATTGTGGTTCGACGATATTATTCAAGAAGTATCAACTAGTAAAATCAACTTAAAAGAGAAAGATAAAGGTGATGAAGAATCCAAGAATGATATACCAGAATAATACATATTCTTATCGATTTACGAAGTTTCCTATTTTGAAATTAAAAGATTCATTCTTCCATGTTTGAAACAATGTTCCGCAGGAAATCCCAGACACAAATTTCGTGTTGGCTAATAAATGTATATACTGGAAAAACATGCCTGATAGAGGAAACCTTAGTACTCTCCAAATATTAATGAAATGGCTAGTTATTAAGTATCATCTAGTTCGAAATCTTAGTGTGGGATATTCAGTCAAAATTATAACAACATAGTGTCGATTGACCTAGACCCATTGTAACTAGATAAACAGTGTGATGTTATTCACTTAGAGTTATGGAGATTAGTCTCTTTCGCACGTTGAAATAATCGATCAATCATTCTTAGACCACCATTAGAAACCTGGAAGCACTGGACGGCCGTTTTGTGCGCATCCATGACTCCTGGAACTGGCAGGCTTCGAACCCAGGACCGCCGGTCTTGTGTGCGAAAGCCTAACCTCTGAACCACTGGGCAGGGACCCGATGGTGTTAATGTCTAACATTGATCATTCTATAGATTTTGCGTGACCTCACCCATTTTTGTCTTTGATAGTTTTCATCGTTAATATCTTCGTGATGATAATTGAATTTACATTACGGGGTTGTGAAGATTGCTAAGTTACACATTTTTGAAACCGAGGACTGTGTATGAGGTTGCGCAACTCCGTGAATCGATCCAGTTGGACATTGATACCGTCCGATACCGGCTCAGTGGTCCGATGGTTAGGCGTTCACGCACCTACCGAAGTTCCTGGGTTCGAATCCTGCGAGGTGTAGGAGTCGTGGATGCCCACTGCTGAGTTGTCCCATACCAGGACGAAACGGCCGTCCAATGCTTCCAGGTTTCTAATGGTGGTCTAACATTGATCGATTCATGGTTTCAAAAATTGAACTTACATACAACAAGAACACTTCACTGTCATTTACACAAATTAAAAACCTACTCATTTCAGATCTCAATATACAACTATCAACAAATTATTGTACATTTCCAATTACACAAATCGATGAATTACAATGTCTAGCCGTCAGTATAATCAATTATTCAGAGTATTCAACAGTATATGAATTAATAACTGGTCAATTGGAAAGTTATGAAGATGAAACGCATCAATTGTGTACTGCAGTGTCAACAGTATTCCCAATAATAAAAGGTTCAACAAATGGTATCATTAAATCAAAAGAAACATTACAAATAGTTATTGGATTTTGTCCACATGTAGCAGGTCATTTTTATCGTCGATTTACATTGTTAGTTTGTAATCAGGTAAAGTACCTACTATTATTAATATTATTGTTACTTACTTACTTACTTACTTTCGCCTGTTACCCCCAATCGAGCATAGGCCGACCACCAGTTTCCTCCAACCAATTCTGTCTTGGGATTCCCTATCCAGTTATGTCCAACTTTTGTTCATTCTTCTCATGCCTTTCTCTATTTCTCGGCGTAGTGTGTTCCTTGGCCTTCCTCTTTTCCTTTTGCCTTGACGGTTCCATGTGAGGGCTTGTCTCGTGACGCAATTAGGTGCTTTCCGCAATGTGTGTCCTATCCACTTCCACCGCTTCTTCCTGATTTCCTCCTCCACTGGAATCTGGTTTGTTTTCTCTCACAGTTCGTTGTTGCTGATGGTGTCTGGCCAATGAATACGAAGTATTTTGCGTAGACAACTGTTGATAAACACTTGTGTCTTCTGAATGATGGCTTTGGTAGTTCTCCATGTTTCCGCTCCATACAGTAGAACTGTCTTCACATTTGTATTGAAAACCCTGATTTTGGTTTTGTTTGAAAGTTGTTTGGAGTTCCAGATATTTTTCAACTGTAGAAATGCAGCCCTCGCTTTGCCAATCCGCGTCCTCACATCTGCGTCCGATCCACCTTTCTCGTCGACGATGCTGCCAAGATATGTGAAGGTGTTAACGTCCTCCAAGGTATCTCCATCAAGCGTGATTCGGTTGGTGCATGTTGTGTTGCATCGGAGAATTTTGCTTTTTCCTTTATGTATGTTGAGACCTACTGCTGCAGAGTCTGCTGCTACACTGGTCGTTTTCTCTTGCATTTGTTGTTGCGTGTGCGATAGAAGAGCCAAGTCATCTGCGAAGTCCAGATCGTCCAGCTTCGTCCTAACTGTCCAGTTGATACCGTGCTTCCCTCCAGATGTTGACGTCTTCATAATCCAGTCGATGACCAGGAGAAAGAGAAAGGGTGAGAGTAAGCAACCTTGCCTGACACCGGTCTTCACCTCAAAAGAGTCTGTCAGCTGACCTCCGTGTACGATTTTGCAGTTGAATCCATCATAAGAATTCCGTATGATGTTGACTATTTTCTCAGGCACACCGTAGTGTCGAAGCAGCCTCCACAGTCGATGAAGTTGATGTAGAGTGGTGAGTTCCATTCAATTGATTGTTCCACAATGATCCGTAATGTAGCAATTTGGTCAGTACACGATCGATCCTTACGAAATCCGGCCTGTTGATCTCGAAGTTGGGCGTCTACGAAGTCCTTCATCCTGTTTGACAATACCCTGTTGAAGACTTTGCCTGGTATTGAAAGAAGAGTGATGCCTCTGTAGTTCTCACACTTGCTGAGGTCGCCTTTCTTTGGTATTTTGATGAGGTATCCTTCTTTCCAATCTGATGGTACTTGTTCCTCATCCCAAATCTTCTTAAAGAGAATGTGAAATATTTTCGCAGTTGCTTCCACATCTGCTTTCATTGCCTCTGCTGGAATGTTGTCTGGTCCTGCTGCTTCGCCACTCTTGATTTGTCTGATGGCCATACTGATCTCCTCAATCGTAGGTGCGCCAATATTAATTGGGAGGTCCGTAGATGCTGCTTCGATGTTGGGTGGGTTCAGTGGAGCTGGTCGATTCAGAAGTTCCTTAAAGTGCTCTACTCACCTATTTCGCTGTTCGTCAGTGTTGCTGATTATTTTCCCTTCCTTGCTTTTCACTGGTCGTTCTGGTTTACCATAGTTCCCGGTGGGCTTCTTCGTTGTTTCGTACAATTGTCTCATGTTTCCTTCCCTTGCAGCCTTTTCCGCCGTCATTGCTAGATCTTCCACATATTTTCGTTTGTCAGCTCTGATGCTCTTCTTCACTTCCCTGTTCGCTTCTGTATACTCGGCTTGCGCCTTAACTTTCTCTGCTCTTGTTCGGCTGACATTCACTGCTGCCTTCTTGTTTCTCCTTTCTTGAATTTTTTCAAGAGTACCAACAGAGATCCATTCCTTGTGATGGTGCTTCTTGCGACCAAGGACCTCCTGACATGTTGAAGTGATTGCCTCCTTAATCCCTTTCCAATTGTTCTCCAATGTTGCTTCCTCTCCATTGAGTAGATCCTGTAAGGCCTGGAACCTATTGGTGAGGGTTATCTTGAATTCGTTGAGTTTTACGGTATCCCGAAGAAAGGCTGTATTAAACTTCTGTGATGTTGTCTGCCCCGTTGTCCAGTGCTTCTTTAGCTTCAATCTCATTTTGGCGATCAGCAAATGGTGATCTGAAGCTATATCAGCTCCTCTCTTGGTTCTCACATCCTCCATGGTCCTTCTGAACTTTTTGTTGATACAGATATGGTCGATTTGGTTTTGAGTAGTGTGGTCCGGTGAAATCCATGTGGCTTTGTGAATGCGTTTGTGCGGGAATATTGTGCCACCGATGACCAGTTTGTTGAAGGCACATAGGTTTGCAAATCTCTCACCGTTTTCGTTCCTTTCTCCCAGTCCATGTCGTCCCATGATGTCTTCATATCCAGTGTTGTCCATTCCAACCTTGGCATTCAGGTCTCCCATAAGAATCGTCAAATCCTTTGGTGAACATTTATCGACGATTGACTGCAGCCTTTCGTAGAATTGATCTTTAACGTCGTCATTGTAGTCATTGGTAGGTGCATAACATTGGATGACGTTCATTGTAATGTCCTCTTTCTTCGTTTTGAAGGATGCTTTAATGATCCTGGGTCCATGAGATTCCCATCCTATCAGTGCCTTTTGTGCATGTTTGGACAGCATCAGTGCAACTCCTTGTGTATGTGAAGCGTTTTCCTCTTCATGACCAGAGTATAACAGCAGTTCCCCTGAAGCTAGTCTCAGTTGTCCTACTTGTGTCCAATGCGTTTCACTGATGCCGAGCACCTCGAGGTTGTATCGTTTCATTTCTGCCGCAACTTGAAATAGTCTTCCAGTCTCCCACAATGTACGAACGTTCCATGTACCTAAAAAAATGGTTGCTCTGGTTGTCAGAAGAGGCATCAGCCCCGTGACTTCCGAGGGAACTCGGCTTTCATCACGAGACGTCATAATTCTTCTTCCAACTCCCAGGGCAGAGTTAAAATGGTTTGAATTATTTTTTCTGGTTAGCGTTTTTTTGGCAAGTTAGTTTTTGACGGAATGGGGTCTCCAACCCCATGTCCAACCCTCCTCCTTCATCCGGGCTTGGGACCGGCAGTAGCCCCTAAGGTTCTACTGGCGGAGTTGTGAAGCCTTCATCATTATTGTTAATTAAGTTCGTCACTAGGTGTACGCTTGAAGCTATCACGAGTTCACCTTAGTCGATAAAAACGCGAACGAGAGAATGACCCAGCGTCCAGGTAGGCTACCTTGATCCCCAAACTGCAAAACGGAAGACTTGATAAGTGCAGAAAGTATATTCTACAACACCCAGCAAGCACACAACTCTCGTTTATTTATACATCATAGAAATGTCCTTGAGACAGTCACGAAAATAGCACACTGAAATACACAGCAGCTAATCACAGCCATGGAGTTTCCTGGTCGGAAATGAAATCTCAGGGTCAACTGATCAACCCATGCTCGCAAATGTGAAATCCGACATAAGGCATTTATCAAGCGAGTTCTGGGGAAATAACATCCCCAAAAATGATTCTGCTGAACAACATGATCAGCACAAACTTCTAGTAGGAGAAAAAGTATTGGAATTCTTTTCCATATACGACCCACAGCTTGTCCTGTTGACCCGGATCTCGACAATCTGGACAACAAAAACATTCAATTCAGAGAACGAAACTCCAATATAATTATCCACTGGAGCTACAAATTTTCGCCACCATCTCTCAGCACTCAGGTATCTCTTTCATAACTGATGAAAGGTTTTCACTTCAAGCGGTGAAGATTTATTGAATTTTGATAATGGTGTGTTTTGATATCGTAAATAATTTAAATTTGGAGATTTCATTTGAATTTGTTTGAAGGGATAACATTATCATTACACAAAATTTTTTGTAGAAGACAACTCTACGTCTTTGAATTTTTCGATATCATATAAAGTTAACTTATATCATGAATCGGTAACAACTAAAAAGAGTCAGTCAGTCAGTGAGTCGCCACGTAGAACTTTGTACGTATGTACATAAGTTCATGTTGCCGTACCACATTAGCACAGAGATGTAATTGTCAATTCAAATCCCATAGTGATAGAGATAGTAGAGGTATTAATGGTAATGAAGAAGACTAGGGTTTGAAGATATTATTCAAGAAGTATAATTCAGTGAGATAAGGTTAGAAAGACAAAGGTAGAGGTGCTGACGATTACAGAAGATTAGGATTTGAGAGAGCGCAACGATTGAATGCACCTGCGCCATTGCAAACGATTTTGAGCCATGTCGTTCAAGGTCTCTAACCACTTATGACTTTCGTCTCGCGGACCCCAACCAGGGATTTGAAAGAACAATTTTGAGTCTCTGTGCTAATGCGGTATGGCAACCTGAACTGATGTACTTACGTACAAAGTTCTATGTTGTAATTGACTGACCGAATCACTGAATTTGTCAGTGAGCTGGGATAATGACGGGACGCACTTTGTTTTCTTAGGGCTGTTAGTGTCTGATTGTGATCAATCCAAGGTATTGTCCAACCTCACCAACTGTCTTCGGTGGATAACTGCCTACACTCAACAGGGTTGAAGTTCACAGGTCACCATGGCTCAGTAGTCTAGATGCTAAGCATTTACATGCCAGACTAAAATTCCTATATTCGATTCTCACAAGCGAAGATCATGGATATGCACAGCTGATTTGTCCCATATTATGATGAAATGGCTGTCTAGTGCTTGCAGGTTTTTATTGGTGGCCTGACAATGAATGCTTTCATGGTTTCAATGAAACTCATCAATCTTCACAACATTTTGATGAAAATGTATATACATTTCCAGACGAAACAACTAGTTCCCATCTCTTTTGTTCTTCAAATTAAACTGACCGCACTATGCATTTCAATCTGTTGACATTCTTCTCTATATGATAACAACTTCACTGCATACTACTGATGAACCACTTTGTTAGTAATATCTACCATATTTGAATATATCAGACTATTTACCAAACAACAACGCGAACTGGCTATTTTTTTCTGTAAAAACCCTAATATTTCATTATTGCTGAATCGAATCTGTTTTTTTCGTGTTTTTTTCTATCTTATATACAATAATCTAAATTGAAAGGAACCACAATTTTTGCATTTACTTGGTACTTGTCATGATTTAATTGAAAGACCTCATCATTTAAAACCAAAACATTTAATGAATATGGATTTATGTGGTGAGATAAATGTAAGTTGCTGTAAATTTATTTACTCTATAAGTCAGTAAGTGCTATTCTTTATTAGATTGATTTCATTTGAAGTTACTACTATAAGATTTAAGTAGTATAAGGAAAGGTATTCTATCTCACAATTGAACTCTTATGCCGTAGGCGAATACGACTTCAGCAGTAATGAAGCTTGAGATTTTTTTGTGACGTGTACCAGATTGTTAGACTGCCTGTTGGTTGGTATTTAGTATTACACATTATCTAACTCAATGTATTCACGATATAGAACGATGACTATCCAATCCAAATGGTAACAACTACTTTAATACTGATTGGTCTAGCCAATGCTACATGATTTTCAATTTTACGCTGATATGATCTCATTTAATCTTGATGTTTTGGTTGAATTTGCCTAAGGCAATTCCTTCTTACATAAAAGTAGATTAGTTAGTTAGAATAAAGTTTCTTCAAATTTCGCGGATTTCAGAAAAAAATTTAACGAGAGAATTGATATAGGACAGACAAAACGCATGTTTAACGCCTGAAAAATTATTTAAAAAACGTTGATTTGACCGAAAATAAGGGTATCATTAAGAGATATGACAACAAAAACAGATATGACTGTCAGTAGTTATATTTTTTCTTGAATATACGATGCTAAGGTTTTGATGTTGATACCGGCCACACGGTTCGAGTCGTACACTAAGATGAAGAATTAATACAGTTTATTTTCAATGTTTCTCAAGAAAATGGAATCCTACAACAGTTTACATACTATGAAAAAGTAGGTGGATTAAGACTCGAAATGAAATACAGAACGTACATTTGCATCGTTCTGAAGAAACCTGTAAAACTTGAATCATTCAAATATTGAAATTTAAATTAAAATCCTACTACAGTGATCCCGACCGTACCTGCTACCTTGATGTGGTGGTCGAGCTTGCCTATCTTGGTCGCCCAACCGAGCTATATTGGATGGAACATAGGCTCCTGTAGGTTCTGCTGTGCCAGGCAGGTCAACTGGAGATAAATGAGAGCTAAAAGCAGATACTTAAGGTCTGATGGGCCGAAGTCGTTATTGCTGACTGCAGAGGGTTGCGACAGTAGTAAGGTGTTTCCCTGCGGACAACCAGCATCTGAAGCAATGCTGCCTTCTCACAAGTAAGGAAGGGTTCGAAAAGGTCGACCCCAAAAAAATGTCACACCTCGCCTCACCTCACGGATTTCCGTCTCCGGCGGTGAGGCCTTTTAAACAGAGGTGAGCTAACACTTTAAAAACTAATGAAAAGGCCGTGAGTGATCGGCTTCAAGTAGTTTTTCCTTGGGCTTTACGGTCACGTTTCCACGTCGTTATGACCAACACTAACCAACCTTCCATTTTAGGTTCCACGGTGTGAGCAGCCTGGAAGTGACAACCGCCCTCATAACCGTATAACAGCACACGAGACCGAATTGGTCACAAACAAATCCTTTCTTACACCCACTAATATCTCTCTTATCTCCAGGACTGACTACAGTGTTGGGGACATCGAGAAGGTTTCATCATTCATATTTTTCCAAGTTAGAGTTGATTTTCTTCTCACTTAGGCATCATCAATATCATTGGTAATCATCTTTCTTTCAAGTAATATCTTTTGAGGACCAACAGTGAGTAGTAGTGATTTAATATCGTCTAGTTGATAATCTTCCGATACAGATGAATCAAAGGTAGAAAGAACAAAGATTATCAAGAAAACAGTTTTCAAAAGTGTTGGGGAAGTTTGATTCCTAGAACTCACTTGATAAAGTTGCTAATTTTGGGGTTTTATGCTTCCACACATGGGCTAATCAGTTGACCTTGAGATTATATTTCCCATTCGGAAAATCCTTGACTGTAATTGGTTGATGTATTATATTTTAGTAGGCTATTTTATGAATATCCCCAAAGACGTTGCTATCATGTATAAATAAGCTCGATTTGTGTGTGCTTGTCAACCTCGTATTCTCTAGGTGCTTGTATAATACATTCTGCATGCCTTACTAAGACTTCTTGCCATAGTTAGGCACGGCCCGGGACAATCAGAATAGAATAGACTGTCGTTTCTTTGTATCATTTGTCTTCGCTCTCGTTTATCGAGTACGGTGAACTCGTAATAGATAATGAAACAACATTTCCAGAATAAATTTATCTTGAGTAAAAATACTCCTTTCTAAATACACAAGAAGAGCTTGAATGTTTGTATGGCTAAGACTTCAATAAACTTTAGTATACGTCCAAGGCGATCCACAAGATCTAAGACAAGAGTATTCTTAACACTAGTTCTGAACGCTTTTGGTAAGGCGAAAGTGATTAGAGTGGCTTTCTATCTCAAATTATTCTCAAATATCCAAGCGCGTATAACCAATGCAAACGAGGTCCTACTTACTGCCTTCTCTCATCACCTAAATGTTGTTCAAGAAATTGAGAGGACAAGAAGCTAGTGACCAAGGTTTTACCGGGGTTGGTGAGTATGACAGGCCCACTCATTGAAGTTAATAAATAATCATTCCAAACCTATGGTGCACCCGGTGCTCCGCGATTCTGGAACAAGAGATGGCGTACAAACCTATTTTTGGTGATCGGCTACTATGGAACATGCGTCTCATCATATGGCTCCAATGCCTTATAGATCAAATTTTCGTTTTAAAGGCTCTGGGAGTGCCTCACTTCACAAGGAAAACGAGGTACTTCAGTTTGATCGTCTAGTCAGTATCCTAGCCTATTGACAAATTCAGTCGTTTGTCTGATGTATACACCTTTAGTTGTTTTTTTGAACCGATAATTATGCGATTAAATTTGAAGTAGAATACCATATGTTTAACATTGCAGAAACGTATATGTCTATCATTTACTCTTTCAAATTTACTTGCCATTCCAAAGAACCATTAGAAAAACATAGATTCCCTCTATAAGAGTGCTAAAATGTCCATCGTAAGTAACATACCAGTTAGTCAGTTCATTCATTCCGAATTGATTTGCTTGTCAACTGATAGACTTGAATGCTATTACGAGTTCACCTTGCTCAGTAAACGAGAGCGGAGAAAAATGACGCAGAGACACAATAGGCTATTCTAATCTGTCTGTCCCCGACCCTGCTAATTATAGCAAGACGTTGTGACAGGGTGTAGAAAGTGTATTCTACAAGCACCAAGAAAATGCGAGGTTAACAAACACACAAATCGAGTTTATTTATACATGATAGCAACGTTATTTGGATAGTCATGAAATAGCGTATTAAAATATAATGCACCAAACAATTACAGTCATGGATTTTCCGAGTGGGAAATATAATCTCAAGGTCAACTGATTAACCCATGTGTGTTAAAGCATAAAATCCAACAGTAAGAGTTATTGGGATCTAATGTCCCTAAAACGAATTAATATTGTAAAGGATGTCTACAAACCAGCTTTTTTTCCCCTTATTATTTTTAGCAACATAATGACAACCATTCAAATGGCTATGAGATTTATTCTGAAATGATGCAATCATCAGAAATTTCGGTGAGTTTTAAGTAAAAAAATTAGTCGGTTTGAAGCATTTTTTTCTCTCTTTTGGAATTTTGCTCTGACAATGTCAAGCATAATTCACAGAACTAATTTACCGTCATGATTTTCTGTGATGAACTCAGTGTATTTTGAGATGGGGGGGAAAACTTGTAGCTCAGGTGGATGATTGTGGTGGTGTTTCGTTCCCTGAGCTGGTTGTTTTGGTTGTGGAGCTTTCATTGTTCTTCTGAACAACATCATCAGCACCAACTTCAGATGCGAGGTGAAGCATTCGATATTCTCCAAGTTTGACCTGTACCCTTGTTCTGCTAACCTCGATCTTTATTGGTTGCTGTTGACCTTTGACCTGTCGTTTTTTGCGTTTAATAAACATATCATCCTGCCATACATCAAAGACATATCGGAACAGACAGCATGACTACTGAAACCATTTGGAATTTGGTGTGTGACACACAAAACAAACAGAATCACTTCAATCAATGCTATGTAGACCAAAGGACAAAATGACAAAGGAAGAAAAACCAAATATCATCTACAAAATAAATTGCTCAAACTGTGAAAACACTACACATAGGGCAAAGTGGACGACCTCTTCAGCTTCGTTTACATGAACACCAATTAGCAGTCAAACGCCACGACAACGCTTCGCTTATATCAATACATACCGACAATTATGGACACACATTTCATTGGAACAACGTGTAAATACTGGGTAAGGGGGAGGACAAAGAACACTAGGGAATTTTTAGAAACTTGGCACTCAGGCCAATCAGTAATTACCCGAACACATCGACAGTTACCCAATTTATCAACCAATCGGGAAAATTATAGGTGACACAGGATTCAAGAAACAGATCAAAAGGGGGGATGCAATGAAAACAAAAGTGCAAACAAGACTACGGAAGGTCAACAACAACCAATCAAGATCGAGGTTAGCAGAACAAGCTACAGGTCAAACGTAACGCTGCCGACTCACGTTGTAATTCTCCTATCTTCTTCGCGACATCATCAGCTTGTCTTTTACACGCTACCGAGGCGACTGTTGAGTTCATCAGTTGTCTTGTTACTTTAGCCAGCTCGGTGACGTCCATTGGTTGTGCCGCGTTCAGCAGTCTCAACTGTTGGGCAACCTCTGCAGGCACACTTTCAATGAATTGCGACGCTAGTAGCTGTGCTTGCGACTCCTCATCCGAATTCAGCAGACCCCGGCGCAGCAATTTGTCAACTCCACAGCCAGCACGAGTGGGTCGCCATGCACCGTAGTCTCGCCTCTCGGAACATATGCAGCGCGTCCTGCCTATCTGCCGGGCCGGTCGAATTCAACCTAGCAGCCTTTCCATCACCACCTCCCAGTCAGAGTCCTTCACACCATCGTACACCGCTCTCGCCCTGTCTCTTGGTAGGGTCCCCACCACCACCGCCTTCAGCCCTCTGCTACTTGACTCCTAACAGCTCCGCCACGGCTTCGAACTCCTTCAAGGAAGCTCCTTAGATCTCCGTCTTCAACTCCCAAGGCCATGGGATCTTCATCCTTTGTAGAGGCAGCGACATTAATTGAGAAGACTGAGGCAGGCGCGGAAGATTGTATCGTGCGAATTTACACTCTTAGTCATTTTAAAAAACGAAAACATTACATTGAATACTCTATTTGCACACCATCTTTGAGTCGTGACTTCCAACACTCCATCCTTCTTCCATTCCTGCTGTTGCTTCCTTTACTTCCTGTTGGTACTCCATTTACTTCTTGCTTTTGCTCCATTTGCTTTCTGTTTTCCTCTTCTGACCGTGAGACTTCTTCTTTCACGTCCCTTCTTATACTACTTATATCGTCCGTATAAGTAGCACACACCATATATATATATATATATATATATATATATATGAGTGTTTGTACATACGATTTGGTAGTCGAAAAGACTTTCGCTACTGTTGTTGCCTTCTCGCTAAAGTAAAGATGGGGTTCACATGTATCGCATTCAAATCTCAGATACTGGACATCACTGATAGATTGAACATGTAATATAACTATGTAGCACAACACTGTTTAACTGTTGTGGATAATTTTTTTTTTGTGAACTACAGAATAATCCACCAGCAATATCTTTAAACTGCACAACTTGGGATTTCACTTCAAATTCAATTTTATTATCTAAAGCAATTACATGTGCAGAACAACAATTAAACAAAGCTGCTAATCAAGATTTAGAATTGAATCATGAACATTTAGCTATTCAAAATACTTTAATTGTACAAAATTTTACTAATAGTGTACTGATAATTCATTGGACACCAACTAAACAGATCGACGTCAGTAATCAAGTGATTGTTGAGAACAACAAGAACAAGAAATTAGTAAGCAATTTTCGAATTGAACCAACAATAAAAGAACTTGCACCGAATAGTTCAACAGAATTCAACATTATGTTTACACCAGTAAGTGATTAGTATTCGATTGTAAACAGTGTTTTATGTTGATTGTTGATTTGAGCATGGAATTATTTGGATTACTGTGAATTAGATGGATATCATTGAGAATTTCTTATTCTCAGTTTAGAAATATTCTTCTCAGAACTTAACAGTAATCTTGACTAGTTGTAGAATTTGAAGGCGCGGAAACAAATGCATTCAGTTATTTGAAATCATGTACTGACCAGCGTCAGATGGACACTGGATGCCTGTCAGTAAAGAAACGTTGTTATGCCCTATTGTGGGGTTCATGGGTCCTGTATTAACGCCTACTTAGATAATTTCCAGCTAAATCCTATCGCTTAGTATTCTCTGACCACAATACACTGGACAAGTTCCCAAGAATCAAAAACACGGTTGAACAGGAAAGATTATATTCCAAATAGCAAGGTTAAATGGAAATAACAAGCCAAAGGTGATGGCGAAGGCAACAAGGTGAAAACAGATACAATGTTAGTCTATTTATAGCATTTACATGAGAAGCTTCTGGATAGTAAGTAATTCACGTGATCGACTGGATTCGATTTAGCCAATCAGCGTTCAGCTAACAACACAAGAATTTTCTACCACGTTCTCCAAGAATCGATCAGGCGCTGATTATTGGATTAGGAAATTAGCCAATCAGTGCGCAGCAACGTAGTCATGCTTTAATTCCACCTAAGTCCCACTAACAGGTCCGATCACCGCACGCGGGGTTGTGGATCCGCATTGCGGATTAGTCCTTTACTCGGACAAAACGGCTGTCTAGTGCTTTCTAGGTTTCCAATGAGAGTCTATCATTGAGAACTCAACAATCACTTCACTACTCTAAAGTGAAAACCAGTTTTTTATTAATACATCGTTACAAACTACAGCAAGTGAACTTAGGATTGCTTGTCATATAAATCGTTAAGCTTGAAATAACTAATCAATCATACAGTGTTAACTTGAATAAGTTTATGCGTTAAATGAAATTTAGACATTGTTAGCAGGACATAGATTCGAGCCCAAGCATGTTCCAAAACACGATTGTGTTGTTGAGCGCTGATTGACTCTTTCATGTTCGTCCAATCAATGCTAGTTGACACTAGGGAAATATTCTTGAATCTTTTCATGTGAAAATCTGTAAATACACTAACGTTTTGAAATTCTAATCTTCCATCTAACCTTGTTACTGGAATATAATCTTTTTCCTGCTCAACCGTGTTCTGTATTAGGAGAACGTCACGAGTGAATTGGTGTCCGAGAATGCTAAGTACTAGTGTAGTGAAGGAGAACACAGGTGAGGGCAACCGAATTGTATTGTATTTAACGAAAATTACAGAGTTACTCAGTAAAATCGGAAAACCATATCGTAAATCGTTAATTTGCAAAATATCAATCCATCATATCGAACTGGACTGTTCCTGTTGCAAAACATCAATCCATTGTCTGACATTTCACTATTCATGCGTTTGTTTCATACAAATTCCATTGTGTTCCCGCTCTTCCTTTCTTGATCTTCCCCACATCTTCTGCTGCCAGACATTACGTTTACACTCGCGTCATATACTACTTATAAGTAGCGCGCACCACACTAGAAATAGCCGGGTTGTAATAAAGAGAGAATTATAAGAGACAGTAATGATCAAAGAATAAATATGGGTCAGACAGGATGAAAGAAATACTAATCCACTTACTGAGCTCGATCGAATCTTCAGTGGATAATGAATGACTAGTGACGTTAGATAAATAGTTAGTAATAATGTGAATGAAGACAAGAGTTCGCACGCTAGACCATTGGTTCTCAGTTGGATTCCTGGTGATGCTAGGTAAGAATGGCAGATCAATAGATGAAGTAATGAAACTTCGTCATTTGGGGTGGTTGGGACATAGGCTGCGTATGCCTAACCACGAACTGCCTCGACGAGCTATGTTTTGTAGTGTAGGAGTAGGTTGGAAGAAAGTTAGGGGCGGCCAAACCGAAACATGGCAGCAATCCATGAAGTCATTGACGAGTGGACTTAGCCATGTTGGTAATTGTCGACTAGCTGGTTGGGGTCCAGGAGATGATAATAATCGATGGTTAGATACCCTGAATAACATGGCTCGAAATCGTTCGCAATGGCGCCGGTGCATTTATTGTTTGTGTCCTCTAGAATCCTAATCTTCTGGATTCTTCAACACCTCTAGTTTTGACTTTCTTAACTTTTCTCACTGAATCATACTTCTTGAATAATATCTTCTAATCCTAACCTCTCCGATTACTTCTAATACCTTTACTACCTCTTCTACTATTGGATTTGAATTGACAATTACATTTCTCTGTGCTGATGTGGTATGGCGACATGAACTGTTGTACTTACGTACGAAGTTCTACGTTGCATCTTGACTGACTGACTGATGAGTTTCATTCTGTAAAAAAATAGCCGTTTTTGGAAAACTTCAAACGGCTATTTTGTTACAGAATGAAACTCATCAGTCAGTCAGTAAGATGCAACGTAGAACTTCGTACCTAAGTATATCAGTTCATGTTGCCATACCACATCAGCACACAAATGCAATTGTCAATTCAAATCCAATAGTAGTAGAAGAGGTAGTAAAGGTATTAGAAGTAATCGGAGAGGTTAGGATTAGAAGATATTATTCAAGATGTATGATTCAGTGAGATAAGTTTAGAAAGTAAAAACTAGAGGTGATGAAGAATCCAGAAGATCAGGATTCTAGAGGACACAAAGCATAAATGCATCGGCGCCATTGCGAACGATTTTGAGCCATGTCATTCAAGGTCTCTAACCATCGATTATTATCATCTCGTGGACCCCAACCAGGTAGTCGACAATTACCGATATGGCTAAGTCCACTTGTCAATGACTTCATGGATTTCTGCCATGTTTTGGTTTGGCCGCAACTAACTTTCTTCCAACCTATTCCTACACTATGAAACAAAGCTCGACGAGGCAGTCGGTGGTTGGGCATACGCAACACATTTCCCAACCACCTCAACTGATGAAGTTTCACCACTTCATCGATTGATTTGCCATTCTTACCTAGCATCCGTTTCCTAAGAAACTCATCAGTAGTGTGCATCCATAACTGCATAATCAGGAATCGAACTCACAACCAATGGTCTTGCGTGCGAACTCTTGTCTTCATTCACATTATTATTAACTATTTGTCTAACGTCACTAATTATTCATTATCCTGTGAAGATTCGATCGAACTCCGTAAGTGGATTATTATTTCTTTAATCCTATCTGACCCACATTTATTCCTTGATCATTACTGTCTGTTATAATTCTCTCTTTATTACAACCCAGCTATTTCTAGTGCGTTGCGCGCTACTTATAAGTAGTATATGACGCGAGTGTAAACGTAATGTCTATCAGCAGAAGATGGGGGAAGATCAAGAAAGGAAAAGTGGGAACACAATGGAATTTGTATGAAACGCATGAATAGTGAAATGTCAGACAATGGATTGATGATGGATTGAAGATTTGCAAATTAACGGTTACGATATGGTTTTCCTATTTTACTTAGTAACTCTGTAATTTTCGTTAAATACAATTTAGTTGCCCTCACCTGTGTTCTCCTTCACTACACTAGTACTTAGCATTCTCGGACACCAATTCACTCGCGACGTTCTCCTAATACAAAACACGGTTGAGCACGCAAAAGATTATATTCCAGTAACAAGGTTAGATAGAGGACAAGAATTTCAAAACGTTCGTGTATTTATAGATTTTTACATGAGAAGATTCAAGAATGTTCCCCTAGTGTCGAATAGCGTTGATTGGACGGACACGAAAGAGCCAATCAGCGTGCAACAACACAATCATGTTTTGGAACATGCTTCGGCTCGAATCTATGTCCTGCTAACAATGTCTACATTTCATTTAACGCCTAAACTTACATTCAAGTTAACACTGTATATGATTGATTAGTTATTTCAAATTCAACGATTTATTTGACAAAACAATCCTAATTTCACTTGCTATAGTTTGTAACGATGTATAAATAAAAAACTGGTTTTCAGTATAGGGTAGTGAAGTGATTGTTGAGTTCTGTTGAAATCATGGAACGATCAATGATAGACTCTCATTGGAAACCTAGGAAGCACTGGAAAGCCGTTTTGTCCTAGTAAAGGACTAATCCGCGATGCGGATCCACGACCCCGCTTGCGGTGATCGGACCTGTTAGTGGGACATAGATGGAAATAAAGCATGACTACGTCGCTACGCGCTGATTGGCTAATTTCCTATCCAATCAACGCCTGATCGATTCTTGGAGAACAGGGTAGAAAATTCTCGTGTTGTTAGCTGCACTTTGATTGGCTAAATCTAATCCAGTCGATCACGTGAATTACTTACAATCCAGAAGCTGCTCATGTAAATACTATAAAGAAACTAACGTTGTATCTATTTTCGCCTTCGGCTTCTTATTTCCATTTAACCTTGCTGCTAGGAATATAATCTTTTCCTGTTCCACTGTGTTTTGTGATTCTTTGGAACTTGTCCAGTAGTGTATTGTGGTCAGGGAATGCTAAGCAATAGGAATTAGCCGAGATTTATCTAAGCAAGCGTTATCACAAGACCCATGAGCCCCGTAATAGGACATAACAACGTTTCTTTACTGACAGGCATCCAGTGTCCATCTGACACTGGTCAGTACATGATTTCGAATAATTGAATGCATTTGTTTCCGCGCCTTCAAATTCTACAACCAGTCAAGATTACTGATACATTTTCCAAGGAATATTTCGAAACTGAGACTGAGAAATTCTCAATAATATCCATCTAATTCACAGTAATCCAAATCATCACATAATCAGATTAACAAAAACCAGAAAACACTGTTTACAATCGAATACTCATGACTTACTGGTGTAAACATAATGGTGAATTCTGTTGAACTATTCGGCGCAAGTTCTTTTAATGTTGGTTCAATTCGAAAATTGCTCACTGATTTCTTGTTCTTGTTGTTCTCAACAATCACTTGATTATTGACGTCGATTTGTTTAGTTGGTGTCCAATGAATTATCAGTACACTATTAGTAAAATTTTGTACAATTAAAGTATTTTGAATAGCTAAATGTTCAAGATTCAATTCTAAATCTTGATTGATAGTTTTGTTTAATTGTTGTTCTGCACATGTAATTGCTTTAGATAATAAAATTGAATTTGAAGTGAAATCCCAAGTTGTGCAGTTTAAAGATATTGCTGGTGGATTAGTCTGTAGTTGAAAAGGAAAAAAATTATCCACAACAGTTAAACAATGTTGTGAAATCTATTTATATTACATGTTCAATCTATCAGTGATGTCCAGTATCTGAAATCTGAATGCGATACATGTGAACTCCATCTTTACTTTAGCGAGAAGGTAAGAACAATAGCGAAAGTCTATTTGACCACCAAATTGTATGTACAAATACTCATATATATATATATATATATATATATATATATATATATATATATGTGTGGTGTGTGCTACTTCTACGAACGATATAAGTAGTATAAGAAGGGACGTGAAAGAAGTCTCACGGTCAGAAGAGGAAAACGGAAAGCAAATGGAGCAAAAGCAAGAAATAAATGGAGTACCAACAGGAAGGAAAGGAAGCAACAGCGGGAATGGAAGAAGGATGGAGTGTTGGAAGTCACGACTCAAAGATGGTGTGCAAATAGAGTATTCAATGTAATGTTTTCGTTTTTAATTGACTAAGAGTGTAAATTCGCACGATACAATCTTCCGCGCCTGCCTCAGTCTTCTCAATTAATGTCGCTGCCTCTACAAAGGATGAAGATCCCATGGCCTCGGGAGTTTGAAGACGGAGATCTAAGGAGCTCCTTGAAGGAGTTCGAAGCCGTGGCGGAGCTGGTAGAAGTCAAGGAGCAGAGGGTGAAGGTGGTGGTGCTGGGGACACTACTAAGAAGCAGGGAGAGAGCGGCATACGATGGTGTGGAGGACGCTGACTGGGAGGTGGTGAAGGAAAGGCTGCTAGTGGAGTTCGACCGCCCGGCGGATAGGCAGGACGCGCTGCAGATGTTCCGAGAGGCGAGACTGTCGGTGGATGGCGACCCACTCGTGCTGGCCGTGGAGTTGACAAGATTGCTGCGCTGGGGTCTGCCGAATTTGGATGAGGGTTCGCAGGCACAGCTGCTAGCGTCGCGATTCATTGAAAGTGTGCCTGCAGAGGCTGGCCAACAATTGAGACTGGTGAACGCGGCACAACCAATGGACGTCATCGAGCTGGCTAAAGTAACAAGACAACTGATGAACTCAACAGTCGCCTCGGTGGCGTGTGAAAGGCAGGCTGATGATGTCGCGAAAAAGATAGAAGAATTAAAACGCGAGGTGGCAGCGTTACGTTTGACCTGTAGCTTGTTCTGCTAACCTCGATCTTGATTGGTTGTTGTTGACCTTCAGTATGTCGTTGTTTGCACTTTTGTTTTCATTGCATCCCCCTTTTGATCTGTTTCTTGATCCTGTGTCACCTATAATTTTCCCGATTGGTTGATAAATTGGGTAACTGTCGATGTGTTCGGTAATTACTGATTGGCCTGAGTGCCAAGCTTCTAAAAATTCCCTAGTGTTCTTTGTCCTCCCCTTACCCAGTATTTACACGTTGTTCCAATGAAATGTGTGTCCATAATTGTCGGTATGTATTGATATAAGCGAAGCGTTGTCGTGGCGTTTGACTGCTAATTGATGTTCACGTAGACGGAGCTGAAGAGGTCGTCCACTTTGTCCTATGTAGTGTTTTTCACAGTTTGAGCAATTTATTTTGTAGATGATATTTGGTTTTTCTTCCTTTGTCATTTTGTCCTTTGGTCTACATACAGGATTGATTGAAGTGATTCTGTTTGGTTTGTGTGTCACACCTATTCCAAATGGTTTCAGTAGTCATTCTGTCTGTTCCGATATGTCTTTGATGTATGGCAGGATGATATGTTTATTAAACGCAAAAAACGACAGGTCAAAGGTCAACAGCAACCAATAAAGATCGAGGTTAGCAGAACAAGGTACAGGTCAAACTTGGAGAAATTCGAATGCTTCACTCGCATCTGAAGTTGGTGCTGATGATGTTGTTCAGAAGAACAATGAAAGCTCCACAACCAAAACAACCAGCTCAGGGAACGAAACACCACCACAATCATCCACCTGAGCTACAAGTTTTCCCCCCCATCTCAAAATACACTGAGTTCATCACAGAAAATCATGACAGTTAATTAGTTCTGTGAATTATGTTTGACATTGTCAGAGCGAAATTTCAAAAAAGAGAAAAAAAGGTTCAAACCGACTTATTTTTTTACTTAAAACTCACCGAAATTTCTGATGATTGCATCATTTCAGAATAAATCTCATAGCCATTTGAATGGTTGTCATTATGTTGCTGGAAAAAATGGGGGAAAAAAGCTGGTTTGTAGATATCTTTACAGTATTAACTCTTTTTAGGGACGTTAGATCCCCAGAACTCCTACTGTTGGAATTTCTGCTTTAACACACATGGGCTAATCAGTTGACCTTGAGATTGTATTTCCTATTCGGAAAATCCTTGACTGTAATTGGTTGATGCACTATATTTTAATACGCTATTTCATGACTATCCCAAAGACGTTGATATCATGTATAAATAAACTCGATTTGTGTGTTTGTTGACCTCGTATTTTCTTGGTGCTTGTAGAATACTCTTTCTACATCCTGTCAAGACGTTTTGCTATAGTTAGCAGGGTCGAGAACAGACAGATTAGAATAGCCTATTGTGTCTCTGCGTCATTTATCTTCGCTCTCGTTTACTGAGCAAGGTGAACTCATAATTGCATTCAAGTTTATCAGTTGACAAGCAAATCAATTCGAAATGATTGATTTGACTGACTGGTATGTTACTTAAGATGGACATTTTAGCACCCTTATAGAGGGAATCTATGTTTTTCTAATGGTTCTCTGGAATGGCAAGTAAATTTGAAGGAGTAGATGATAGACATATACGGTTCTGCAATGTTAAACATATGGCATTCTATTTCATATTTAATCGCATAATTATTGGTTCAAAAAGACAACAAAAGGTGTATACATCAGACAAACGACTGAATTTGTCAATAGGCTAGGATACTGACTAGACGATCAAACTGAAGTACCTCGTTTCCTTGTGAAGTGAGGCAATCCCAGAGCCTTTAAAACGAAAATTTGATCTATAAGGCATTGGAGCCATATGATGAGACGCAGTTCCATAGTAGCCGATCACCAAAAATAGGTTTGTACGCCATCTCTTGTTCCAGAATCGCGGAGCACCGGGTGCACCATAGGTTTGGAATGATTATTTATTAACTTCAATGAGTGGGCCTGTCATACTCACCAACCCCGGTAAAACCTTGGTCACTAGCTTTTTGTCCTCTCAATTTCTTGAACAACATTTAGGTGATGAGAGAAGGCAGTAAGTAGGACCTCGTTTGCATTGGTTATACGCGCTTGGATATTTGAGAATAATTTGAGATAGAAAGCCACTCTAATCACTTTCGCCTTACCAAAGCGTTCAGAACTAGTGTTAAGAATACTCTTGTCTTAGATCTTGTGGATCGCCTTGGACGTATACTAAAGTTTATTGAAGTCTTAGCCATACAAACATTCAAGCTCTTCTTGTGTATTTAGAAAGGAGTTTTTACTCAAGATAAATTTATTCTGGAAATGTTGTTTCATTATCTATTACGAGTTCACCTTACTCGATAAACGAGAGCGAAGACAAATGATACAAAGAAACGACAGTCTATTCTATTCTGATTGTCCCGGGCCGTGCTAACTATGGCAAGAAGTCTTAGTAAGGCATGCAGAATGTATTATACAAGCACCTAGAGAATACGAGGTTGACAAGCACACACAAATCGAGCTTATTTATACATGATAGCAACGTCTTTGGGATATTCATAAAATAGCCTACTAAAATATAATACATCAACCAATTACAGTCAAGGATTTTCCGAATGGGAAATATAATCTCAAGGTCAACTGATTAGCCCATGTGTGGAAGCATAAAACCCAAAATTAGCAACTTTATCAAGTGAGTTCTAGGAATCAAACGTCCCCAACACTTTTGAAAACTGTTTTCTTGATAATCTTTGTTTCTTTCTACCTTTGATTCATCCTGTTCGGAAGATTATCAACTAGACGATATTAAATCACTACTACTCACTGTTGGTCCTCAAAAGATATTACTTGAAAGAAAGATGATTACAATGATATTGATGATGCTAAGTGAGAAGAAATCAACTCTAACTTGGAAAAATATGAATGATGAAACCTTTCTCGATGTCCCCAACACTGTAGTCAGTCCTGGAGATAAGAGAGATATTAGTGGGTGTAGAAAGGATTTGTTTGTGACCAATTCGGTCTCGTGTGCTGTTACGGTTATGAGGGCGGTTGTCACTTCCAGGCTGCTCACACCGTGGAACCTAAAATGGAAGGTTGGTTAGTGTTGGTCATAACGACGTGGAAACGTGACCGTAAAGCCCAAGGAAAAACTACTTGAAGCCGATCACTCACGGCCTTTTCATTAGTTTTTAAAGTGTTAGCTCCACCTCTGTTTAAAAGGCCTCACCGCCGGAGACGGAAATCCGTGAGGTGAGGCGAGGTGTGACATTTTTGGGGTCGACCTTTTCGAACCCTTCCTTACTTGTGAGAAGGCAGCATTGCTTCAGATGCTGGTTGTCCGAGGGAAACACCTTACTACTGTCGCACCCCTCTGCAGTCAGCAATACGACTTCGCCCTCAGACCTTAAGTATCTGCTTTTAGTCTCATTTATCTCCAGTTGACCTGCCTGGCACAGCAGAACCTACAGGAGCCTATGTTCCATCCAATATAGCTCGGTTGGGCGACCAAGATAGGCAAGCTCGACCACCACATCAAGGTAGCAGGTACGGTCGGGATCACTGTAGTAGGATTTTAATTTAAATTTCAATATTTTGAATGATTCAAGTTTTACAGGTTTCTTCAGACGATGCAAATGTACGTTCTGTATTTCATTTCGAGTCTTAATCCACCTACTTTTTCATAGTATGTAAACTGTTGTAGGATTCATTTTCTTGAGAAACATTGAAAATAAACTGTATTAATTCTCATCTTAGTGTACGACTCGAACCGTGTGGCCGGTATCAACATCAAAACCTTAGCATCGTATATTCAAGAAAAAATATAACTACTGACAGTCATATCTGTTTTTGTTGTCATATCTCTTAATGATACCCTTATTTCGGTCAAATCAACGTTTTTAATAATTTTTCAGGCGTTAAACATGCGTTTGTCTGTCCTATATCAATTCTCTCTTTAATTTTTTTTGAAATCCGCGAAATTTGAAGAAACTTTATTCTAACTAACTAATCTACTTTTATGTAAGAAAGAATTGCCTTAGGCAAATTCAACCAAAACATCAAGATTAAATGAGATCATATCAGCGTAAAATTGAAAATCATGTAGCATTGGCTAGACCAATCAGTATTAAAGTAGTTGTTACCATTTGGATTGGATAGTCATCGTTCTATATCGTGAATACATTGAGTTAGATAATGTGTAATACTAAATACCAACCAACAGGCAGTCTAACAATCTGGTACACGTCACAAAAAAATCTCAAGCTTCATTACTGCTGAAGTCGTATTCGCCTACGGCATAAGAGTTCAATTGTGAGATAGAATACCTTTCCTTATACTACTTAAATCTTATAGTAGTAACTTCAAATGAAATCAATCTAATAAAGAATAGCACTTACTGACTTATAGAGTAAATAAATTTACAGCAACTTACATTTATCTCACCACATAAATCCATATTCATTAAATGTTTTGGTTTTAAATGATGAGGTCTTTCAATTAAATCATGACAAGTACCAAGTAAATGCAAAAATTGTGGTTCCTTTCAATTTAGATTATTGTATATAAGATAGAAAAAAACACGAAAAAAACAGATTCGATTCAGCAATAATGAAATATTAGGGTTTTTACAGAAAAAAATAGCCAGTTCGCGTTGTTGTTTGGTAAATAGTCTGATATATTCAAATATGGTAGATATTACTAACAAAGTGGTTCATCAGTAGTATGCAGTGAAGTTGTTATCATATAGAGAAGAATGTCAACAGATTGAAATGCATAGTGCGGTCAGTTTAATTTGAAGAACAAAAGAGATGGGAACTAGTTGTTTCGTCTGGAAATGTATATACATTTTCATCAAAATGTTGTGAAGATTGATGAGTTTCATTGAAACCATGAAAGCATTCATTGTCAGGCCACCAATAAAAACCTGCAAGCACTAGACAGCCATTTCATCATAATATGGGACAAATCAGCTGTGCATATCCATGATCTTCGCTTGTGAGAATCGAATATAGGAATTTTAGTCTGGCATGTAAATGCTTAGCATCTAGACTACTGAGCCATGGTGACCTGTGAACTTCAACCCTGTTGAGTGTAGGCAGTTATCCACCGAAGACAGTTGGTGAGGTTGGACAATACCTTGGATTGATCACAATCAGACACTAACAGCCCTAAGAAAACAAAGTGCGTCCCGTCATTATCCCAGCTCACTGACAAATTCAGTGATTCGGTCAGTCAATTACAACATAGAACTTTGTACGTAAGTACATCAGTTCAGGTTGCCATACCGCATTAGCACAGAGACCTCAAAATGTTCTTTCAAATCCCTGGTTGGGGTCCGCGAGACGAAAGTCATAAGTGGTTAGAGACCTTGAACGACATGGCTCAAAATCGTTTGCAATGGCGCAGGTGCATTCAATCGTTGCGCTCTCTCAAATCCTAATCTTCTGTAATCGTCAGCACCTCTACCTTTGTCTTTCTAACCTTATCTCACTGAATTATACTTCTTGAATAATATCTTCAAACCCTAGTCTTCTTCATTACCATTAATACCTCTACTATCTCTATCACTATGGGATTTGAATTGACAATTACATCTCTGTGCTAATGTGGTACGGCAACATGAACTTATGTACATACGTACAAAGTTCTACGTGGCGACTCACTGACTGACTGACTCTTTTTAGTTGTTACCGATTCATGATATAAGTTAACTTTATATGATATCGAAAAATTCAAAGACGTAGAGTTGTCTTCTACAAAAAATTTTGTGTAATGATAATGTTATCCCTTCAAACAAATTCAAATGAAATCTCCAAATTTAAATTATTTACGATATCAAAACACACCATTATCAAAATTCAATAAATCTTCACCGCTTGAAGTGAAAACCTTTCATCAGTTATGAAAGAGATACCTGAGTGCTGAGAGATGGTGGCGAAAATTTGTAGCTCCAGTGGATAATTATATTGGAGTTTCGTTCTCTGAATTGAATGTTTTTGTTGTCCAGATTGTCGAGATCCGGGTCAACAGGACAAGCTGTGGGTCGTATATGGAAAAGAATTCCAATACTTTTTCTCCTACTAGAAGTTTGTGCTGATCATGTTGTTCAGCAGAATCATTTTTGGGGATGTTATTTCCCCAGAACTCGCTTGATAAATGCCTTATTTCGGATTTCACATTTGCGAGCATGGGTTGATCAGTTGACCCTGAGATTTCATTTCCGACCAGGAAACTCCATGGCTGTGATTAGCTGCTGTGTATTTCAGTGTGCTATTTTCGTGACTGTCTCAAGGACATTTCTATGATGTATAAATAAACGAGAGTTGTGTGCTTGCTGGGTGTTGTAGAATATACTTTCTGCACTTATCAAGTCTTCCGTTTTGCAGTTTGGGGATCAAGGTAGCCTACCTGGACGCTGGGTCATTCTCTCGTTCGCGTTTTTATCGACTAAGGTGAACTCGTGATAGCTTCAAGCGTACACCTAGTGACGAACTTAATTAACAATAATGATGAAGGCTTCACAACTCCGCCAGTAGAACCTTAGGGGCTACTGCCGGTCCCAAGCCCAGATAAAGGAGGAGGGTTGGACATGGGGTTGGAGACCCCATCTCACCAAAAAACTAACTTGCCAAAAAAACGCTAACCAGAAAAAATAATTCAAACCATTTTAACTCTGCCCTGGGAGTTGGAAGAAGAATTATGACGTCTCGTGATGAAAGCCGAGTTCCCTCGGAAGTCACGGGGCTGATGCCTCTTCTGACAACCAGAGCAACCATTCTTTTAGGTACATGGAACGTTCGTACATTGTGGGAGACTGGAAGACTATTTCAAGTTGCGGCAGAAATGAAACGATACAACCTCGAGGTGCTCGGCATCAGTGAAACGCATTGGACACAAGTAGGACAACTGAGACTAGCTTCAGGGGAACTGCTGTTATACTCTGGTCATGAAGAGGAAAACGCTTCACATACACAAGGAGTTGCACTGATGCTGTCCAAACATGCACAAAAGGCACTGATAGGATGGGAATCTCATGGACCCAGGATCATTAAAGCATCCTTCAAAACGAAGAAAGAGGACATTACAATGAACGTCATCCAATGTTATGCACCTACCAATGACTACAATGACGACGTTAAAGATCAATTCTACGAAAGGCTGCAGTCAATCGTCGATAAATGTTCACCAAAGGATTTGACGATTCTTATGGGAGACCTGAATGCCAAGGTTGGAATGGACAACACTGATATGAAGACATCATGGGACGACATGGACTGGGAGAAAGGAACGAAAACGGTGAGAGATTTGCAAACCTATGTGCCTTCAACAAACTGGTCATCGGTGGCACAATATTCCCGCACAAACGCATTCACAAAGCCACATGGATTTCACCGGACCACACTACTCAGC